TTCAAAAATATATATTGTAATACAAGTAAAATATAAAAGTGTCACGCCTTTTAATTCAAAGTCCTTTCATGGGACTCCACTGAGGTTTATTTGCTTGGCATGCCTAGATGTATGTTTCCAAGATTTGTATACATTTCGTACCATTTGTAATAGTTTTGGATCAATAATTTTTATGCAAACTGTCAGATCAATCTGTTTTTTTTCTCTAAAATCATAAGTTAATTAGTGGAAAATAACCAAAAATTGAAAAGCGTTGCAACACTTTTCACTCAGATCGAGCTAATAATGGCACCAATAAAATCATTTGTCCATTAAATTTTGAGAATATTTCCAGATTTTTCCATTTTCAGTTGTTCACTTGTTCTGAGCAAGAACTTTAAATTAAATGTTTTAGGCTTTTTGACCTCAATTGACCCCATTGAATATGAAAACAAATAAATGAATAAAAGTAAATATTCATTGATATGAATTCATTCTTGTTTGAATAAAAGATGAATATTCTTCTATAGTCTTCTTTTACTTATAATAACAGTAAACATAAAATACTCATCACTTAACATTATATTTACAACAATTATATAAGATTATATAAAAATATGAAATAACAAGAATTAATAAAAGTTATGATTAACATTAAAGTTTGCAAACTGCAATGGGAACACCGCCATGGCTATAACCTATTCCAAACCGTTTCTTCAAAAATAAAATTGAGCTTAAAATCATTCCACATTTTAAAAAATAGCAAATGGGAAAAACGTATAATCAGCCATGGAATGTGTACAAACATGCAATAAATTGTAAATATTGAATTTTATGCATTTCTAAAATGCTTCACATTGTTTGGTTACTTTTTTAACGTTACTCGTTTAAAGGTTATGACGGTGTCACTTTAATGTTTGGCGGAATGAAAAATCTAATTTATGAAAGTATATGTACAGTTACAACTAAAATAAATTACATTTACATAGACTATATCAAAAACTTTAAAAGTCATTTTTTTGTGGTCATAGTAAGATATATAGGCCTACAAGCATAAATTAATAACAGTGTCAGCGGACTTAAGTAATTAATGAGATAGCTTCCAAACACAAAAACATGTGTACAATGCTACGCTGTACAATGCTTAACTCGATAATGCACATTATACATTATATACACATTAGAAATGGTAATGCATTGATTTACACTAAAATCAGGTCAATAAAATGACGTCATATTCTATTTTACGTCAAATGACATAATATGATGTAATGACGTGGCGACATTCTCTACTTCTAGAGAATAACTTCAAAGCTGACAATGTATAAGGAGAATGATAGATTATGTAAAAATTTGTGTATTTATATACAGAGATATATAGAGAAACATTTCATAAATAGAAGTATAAAGAACAGTTAATATTTTATAATATAATCTCTATTTCATACTTTTCTTGATTAAAAAGAAATATTTACAACAAGTTAAAATATTAAAGAAATAAGCCTGTAGATTCATACCTTTTATGAATAACAACTAAAGACTTAAAAAAACTCATTGAATTTCCGAGAGAAATAATTCAAGCGACTTGTATGTAGATTTATAATTTCTTTTTAGGAAGTTAAGGCTTCAATTCAAGTTAAAATTCTAAAATGTCTTGTCTGTTTGTTCGTTAAACATTTTTAAAAAAAGAATGCTTCAGAATCGATATTCAAATTAAAGTAAAGAGTATAAAAGCATTACACCTGAAGATTCATACTTTTCTTACAGACAAAAATTCATATTTTTAATCCACGTAAATATATTAAAGCGACACGTCTGTATATTCATATTTTTTCATGAAAGAAAATACTTAAAACAAATTTATATCGAAATTTTACAGTTAATTGTACAAAAAATGAATTTTCCTTTCAATTCTGAGAAATTTCCCTATTATCCTTTACAAATTTTCCATTTTAAGTGATTCACATGCTCTGAACAATCATTTCAAATTTTATTGTTTTCAGGATTTTCGACCTCAAATAAGAAAATGCTTCAAAAATTTATATTTAGGTAAGTAAATAAAAAATTAAAATTCATTTACACAATTTCATTCTTATTTGTAAACTGATAAATCTATAGTCTAATTTACTTACTAAAAACAGAGTCCTCATCACTTTATCTTTACACCAATTACATCAAATAATAAAAAAATGGGGATTTTTAAAATAAATCATGCGTTAGGTACAACGTGCAATGGCTTATAAGCATTTATGCATATCTAAATTCTTCACCTGTTCTGGTTAGGTCATTATTTGAAAATTTTACTTGTATAAAGGCATGTCGCTTTAAAGTTTGGCAAAATGAAAAATACATTTTATATGTAAATATATGTACAGTTATCAACAGAAAATAAATGACATTAATATAATCCAAATAGATCTATAGCTATAATAAACTTTGAGAACAACTTTGTGAATTCATACTAAGATATGTACAAGAATAAATCAATTACAGCGTCAGCGGACTTAAGTAATTAATTAGAAAGTTTCTAAACAACAAACTATATGCACAATTCACAATGCCAAGCTGAACAATCCGAAACTTAAAATAGTTCAAATGAAAATGTGAATGTTTGAGTAAATTCCTACACTATACATTAATAATGATAATGCATTGATTAACATGTCAATAAAATGACGTCATATTCAATTTTACGTAAAATGACGTGGCAACATTCTCTACTTCTAGAAAATAATTACAAAGCTGACTATGTATATGGAGAATGACAGAGTATGTACAAATTTGTATATTTATATACATAGATATACAGGACAACCTTTTATAGATATAAAGAACATTTAATATACTTTGCAAAATAAGCTTTCATATATGTACAGCCAAATGTAAATCAAGAACAAGTTATATAATAACTCATAATATATACATGTATATAGGTTGTATATTACACAGCACTTTAGAATGCCAATTTTCCATTTACAATTTTGACGTTTTTGTAAAGTATATTATCTGCAATATATGTTTTTACATTAAGTACAGCGCAATAGTGAAATTTAGCAATTCAATAAAACAAATATTCACTGCAACATAACGTTATTTTCATTCCTAAAAGCTCAGTGACGTCATTTTTATTCGGAAAAGCTCAATGTTACCGTCAACTTTAGGCGTTTCAAAGAAAAAGTAATTAATTTCTGTTTAACTAGTTTTCATATTGTTTGTTAACGGAATTTCTTATTTATGAAGGCTTACAGTCAACTAAAATGAATTGAACTCCCTGACTAAAATGTCAGTGACTTGCATGGTGTAATTTTATTCATCTCATTCAATAAATTCAGTACTGAACCTACACTTATTCAATGTACATGTCTGAAGCATTTAAAAATGGTATTTTCAATCTTAATCAAAGAATGCAATATGGCAGAATTATTTACACTATATATACAATAAAGAGTTTTACAGGTTATATGACTGAGTATAAACGATTATTTGCTATATAACCATTATTCATCGACTCTGGTATATAACCTTACTACCGTTTATCAAGGTCATATAACCTATCAAAAAATCTTTATAGCTGTTAATGTACGTTCATCATTATGCAAATATCATAAAAACAAAAACAGGGATATCATTATTTGTAAACAAAAGTATATTATGTACAAAACAGTTTTTCTATGTACAAAGTTTCAAGCAAACAAAATTATCTTTTTGTCGCCAGTAATGATCTTTACAGATAAACAGAATTGATTGAACAAAAAAAATACAGTTATATGACTGTGTATAAACGGTTGTTTGCTATATAACCATCATCCATCAACTCTGGTTATATAAACTTACTTCCGTTTATTAAGGTCATATAACCTTTCGCAATTTTAGCTGTTTCTGTAGATTCATCATACTGTTTCTGAAGATTCATCATATGCAAATAACCTAAAAACGCAAATAAGGATATCATCATTTGTAAACAAAAGTATATTATGTACAAAACAGTTTTCTATGTACAAAGTTTCAAGCAAAGCTAACTTTTTGTCACCAGCAATGGTCTGTATAGAAAAAAAAACGGATTGACTGAAATAAGCAAAATTTCTTCTGATATGAAATCATGATCAAATGGAAGTTTAAATTCTCTGCAATACATTTATAGGCCTATATTCATATGTGTTTTGTTTAAATAAGGAAATATCTTTATAATTTATACAAAATTTCTGATAAAAGTTTTCATTGTTCTCGAATTTCTTCAACATTTGAATAAGAAACTATGTTTATTTTATTAGAAAACTTTGGTTTGAATTTTCTACAGTAATAAATGTAACTTTCTATTAAACACTTTTTTTAACATAAAATAAGAAATTTTCAACAGCGGTCCTGATTTAGATAAAAAAGTTAAAGAAAAAAAACGTTTTTAGAAAATAGCTCCATGTTCATTGTACTTCAACAGTTTGTTTAAAGTTTTTACTTTGTGTGTTTGAGTATTTTCCACTAACTATGTTGGACACTCTTTCTGTACTGGTCTGACACTGTCACATATGATGCATTTAAGCTGTTTTTTTCTGAAAAAAAAAAAATAAATGAAACACTATTTCAAGCTTTAAAAGTTAGTGTGTAGGGAACAGATGCACAATGTTTCTTTCATTACAATTAAGTTTTGTTTGATATTTTAATTCACAGCAACATAGACACTATCAAAATTAGGCTACTAATGCTTCTAAAAGCAAAAAAATAATTATTCTCATGAAGTAAATATTTCACACACAAGATGGCACACCGTCTGTAAACAAGAAATATCTCAGTTATATTTCACTTTAAAAACGTTTATATGTACAGCTGCATTGAATTAAAATCGGGAGTTACTGGTTCAAAAACAAGACTTATTTACGCTGCTATTTGCATTGTTAGAATATGATAATAATTACGCATATAAAACAAAATGAAGACAAAAAACTTAAATTGTTTACCAAGCATCTTTAAATTATATAAAAAATAAAACGACAGAAAAATGATAATAATATTTCTAAATGCCTTACCATAACATGAAAGATGACGATACGGTTCTTTGAGTTTAGTTGACAGCAATATTTCGTGTGAAAGGTCCAAATAAAAATCCAACGGATTGATTCAAGGCCGCTGAAACGAGAAATAATTAATGCATTTATCACAAGTCATGCATTTATCTCATTAAACATTTTTTCTCTACAAATCATTTAAATCATTTAATGTGTAGTAAGTACGGGATGGCGGGGGGCGGGGGGGGGGGTTTATTTACATGCACGTAGAAATACACCCTACACCAATGCCTACATGAGATGGCCATTTTAAAACGGCATTATATCTATATCCAACAGCGATCAGAGAATATTAAAACATTCAAACAAATTATACAACAATGTATTTGGAAAATGTAAAACAGTGTAAGGAAAAAACACAGAAATATGCTTCTAATTTATTTACGTGAATACACGGCTGTATTGAAAGCACTGCTAATTTCAAGTAGAAATAAAAACTTCAGCTTAATAATGTGTATTAAGAAAGAATTTATTCTTTAATAACCAGTCTATTTCAGAAATTAATAAAGAATAATTAATGAAATAAATTCAATTAAACTGTATTTAAATTTAGAAACGAAATAATGAGGCTTTAATTTATATTTTTCTCATGCCCACGCTTGTTTTCTTTATAAAATAAGCTTTATACTTTTTCATTAATTATTTCTGTATGACAACTCAAATGAGATCCTATTTAAACTTTCATGATAAAAATGCAAATGTCTAAAATTAATTAAATTCTCGAACGTTCTATATCGTTTTTTTTTAGAAAACATATACAAAAAAATAATCTCTTACCTGTGAAACATTTCCAATTTTCCATATCCTAACGTTATTATGAAGATTCAATCCATTATCCTTTAAACAAAACACATGTAAATATCTCCGCCATTAAAAACTTGATAAATGTTGCTATTAATGTTAACAATTTTATTTTAATTTACATGAAATGTAATTGATTGTAACGTAAATGACTTATTAACTATACTATAAATGTCCACAAACTATAACGGTAAGTTTTAAAAGACGCCATTTTGTTTTTCAAAGTTTCCATTTTAAACTGTTTTTCCTATAGAAATTATGAAGTCCTTTCTTCAACTTATTTTACAATTTTTTTATTTGTCTATTCTGTGCTTGGTTTTATTGTTTTGAACACAAACCTCAACCCGCCAATGTCTAGTTTACATGAAAATTTTGTGAACATATTTACTTTAACTGACTGCGGCAGATTTTCAAGCACGGTAATAAAATTCTGTAAACTTCCTGCAGGCATTTCTATCCCTTCCAACTCCGCATGTTTGATTTTCAACATGTCACGTGACAGTAACAATGATCTTTCATTTACATTGATGTTCTTCAACGTAACATTAACTAATGACGGTGTTGTTATATTTAATTGTAGCCTCCCAGGTAACCACTGCAAGTGTAACTTTGATAGCGTAGAATGTTGAGACAAGTCCAAGTCCAAGTTCAATCCCTTGCAATCACGGCAGCCATGTTCTTTACAGTGTAACTGCTCCAATGTTAACTCTTTCAATGATTTTTGACCGGAGATAAAATTGAAAATTGTTTCCAGTATTTTGTGAGATAACGTTAAACTTTCAATATGTAAAAATTGTAAGTTTTGTAGTCGCGCCAAAATTGCACTCACATTTTCTTCATCATTTGTCCATGTACAATAGAACAAAGATACGGCCTGCAAACTGGGAAACAATATCCGATTTATCTCAGCCTCCTCCTCGTCACCACAATACCAAAGTTGCTGTATATCACTGAGATCTGTGAGAGAGAATGAATCTATAATTTCACTTCTGGAATTATTGAATGTGCGTATACTAAGTGATTTTACGTTGGCTTTATTTTGTTTTAACAAACGTTGTAACTGCTCACTGTGCACGGTGCTGTCGTTAATGAAGAAATCTTGTAAACATAATTGAATATTTTCACTTTCAGGCATTTCTTGTAAACACGACATGAACATTGTCTGTATGTTATACAATGGAGTATAGTAAACAAACGTGAAACCTGTCAAAGTTCTATAGCGGCGTGTTTCCTCGTCTTCATTTATCACAGACATGAAATAATTTGATAATTTAAACATCCGGTCAGCATTTAGCCCACTTATAAATTCACAAATGTTTGACATGTCCAGAATGTCTTGATTACTTTTACGTTTAAGTTTCGGATCGTTTTCTTGAAAACTTAAAAATATAGCTGCAAAGAATTCCTGAATTGTCTTGTGAGAAAACCAAACTTTACTTAACTTTTTATATGGTGCATTGGATGTACTTTCTGACAACATTCCTGTGGCAAGAGTGAAATTCATCTCGTCTGTTGAAAGATATTCCCTAGCAATTGATCCATCAAATACGAGCGTGTTTTCTTTTGTTTCATTGAATAATGTATAATAAGCTAATTTCCCTATATGCATCAGGAGTGGGATGTTTTGCTTACACTTCTCGTATTCAGCAAAGCTGTCTAAGCATTGTGATAGGATGCCACTGGACGGAATTTTTTTTGATTGTTTAAGCTTCCCGTGGATCTTAATCGTTCTAGATAGAAGAAATTCGACTATTTTTATATAGAGATCACATTTTGAATTTCCTATATCAAAACCTTTACACCATAAACAAATTGTATATATTAAAAGTAGAGGTACAACAACAAGCTCGACGTTTTGTCTCTTCTTGATTGTTTCTTTGAACTCTCTGACGTCACTGTCTAATGCATTCTTATTCGGAGGAGACTTCCATTCTTGTATCATCCTTTGTATAAGTTTATCCGCCGATTTGCTACTAAGTCCTGTAAGTTCTACCTTTTTTCCTAACTGACATGAATCTAGTTCCAAAACTCCTAACTTCCATTGTCGTGTGGTTGTCAGTACTGTACACTTTTCTCGGTCATTCCTATGGGGGATTGATGGTTTCGCCGATCTTTTACATTCATTATCGGGATGTGTCCATTCGTCTAGTCCATCAAGAATAACGAGGCATTTCTCATGTTTCAAAATTTTAAGCAGGTCATCTTTGGAAAGCGGTTCTTCCACGCCCAACTCTGGAACAATCTTTTCAAAAATGAGCTCATCTATAGAGCATACATTGCCCGCATCTCGCAAAAACACCAGGAATATGAAATCAAATTCTTGCATACAGTCTATATCATCCTTTAAAAATAACCTAAAGTTTTTGTCTGGACAATGAGCTTGATACCACACGTTTGCCAGATACTTTGAAAAAACAGTTTTTCCAAGTCCAGCATCAGCAAGTACATAAATTTCTCTTTTTTTAGTTTTAAACATCTCCGATAAGGATTTAACTGGTCGTTTTACATCATTTGAGTCAATTGAGCTCAATTCTGGTCTGATACAGAAAGAAGCCAACGGAGTGTCCTTCTCTTCAAAAAGAGGTGACAGGAAAATGTGGCTGTGTCTCTTTCTGTAGAATGTAATCAAACTATCTCTTAGATCTGGAATATATAATAAAAAAATGTCATCAAGAATTTGACATAATTAAAAGAAAAGATGATAAATGGAAAATGTGTGAATATTTCTTAAAAAAAATGTAATTACATGTTTTGGAATAACAAGCAATAATCATTGTGAATGAAATGTAAACTTACTTATAATATAAATAACACTGTCACGTGGATTCGAACCGTATTTTAATTAGACAATAATGATTTAACATACTTAATCAATTAAGCATGTGCAACATCCAGTAATAACCTATTTTTAGTTTCGTTTTTTATAGTTTATGAATAGAAAAAAACAACAACAACAAAAAATTATCATTTCGTTAAAAACACAAAAATGAAGATCATTCAATAAGCTTATCACAAGTTAAGGCTGTTTTTTTTAAAGTTATTTTCAATACATTTAATTTAATTTATTTATTTAAATTTTGATAATATCAAAGTATGCTCTTATTCTTTGTATTAATAAATCCTGGATATTATTAACCAGTATTGACCTGCAGGTACCCAGAAATCGCTGTTCATATTGATACATTTACAAAATGCTTGAAGACTTTTTGCTTGTCAATCATTTAAGGGAATAAGTCAAAAGTCTTTTTATAGCCCTTAATATTAAACTATGCTGGTGGAATAAACACAATAATGTCCGCATTTTCATTTTGAACAAGTTACAGGGACTTAATATACAATTTTTATGATGTTTTGTTTTTATTTGCCATTATAACAGTGAATTAATTTGTTCTTCACGAAATGTTCTTCACGTATGTATATTTTACTGACATAAAGAGGGCAATATCAGATTTAGTAGCTCCCCCGAAAACCACTGTAATACAAATTCCGAAATTAGCGGCTTTTAAAACAATAAACGTAAGAAGCAACTATGATCGAATGGGTAGGATACGAACAATAACAATGTGTGTTACTGTGATAAAGCCAAGAAGGAAAATTCTATGTAATTCAGCAGTTCTAAATATACTTAAAATAATTAATAACTATTTCTACATGCTTTACAAGTGGCCCTTTGGATGGATCGACCATAGGAGCATAATTTGTAAACACATAAAAATTCTACTTGTATAGAGTCTCTTATAATAATCATATGTTTCGGCACCTTCATATACTGTGAGATATGTTAAATCAGAGGAGGAAAATTATTCGCTGAATTCTTTTTTATCACTGCTTCATATGTATACAGCTTCATATGTATACAGCAGGGAAATGCCATTATGGTATTTGGGGTCAGACCCAGACCACAGGGGTCGCGGTCTGTCTCCAGAGCTTACCAATAGTCAATGTCCCGGACAGTGATATTTACGGCCAACTTCGGGTCAAAATTCCCCTCTTATATATAATATCTGTTCCTGAAAAAAGTTCTCCCCCACTACAAAAAATGGGAAAAAAGAAGAAAATAGAGATACTTTTTTTTCACGAGAGGGACACTGTGGTTTGAAAACAAAATGGTATTGCTCCACAGTTTACATATCTATGTTGACTGTAAATATATATATACTTGTCACATAATACTTTGCATATGTATTGAAATAGAGTTACTGTATGGTTGGGGGAAATTAAAGATAGTTATGATTCTTGTATGTTGCATTTCCTCTTAATGTGGTTGACCATAGATGAAGTTTTATTGAATTACTCTGTAATAAGTCCAGAAAGAGTTTTGTTTTTTAAGCATTGCATTTTCTCTTATTGCGCTTGACAATTGCATGAAGTTACATAAAATTCTAATCATTAGTTTTTAAGTCATGCACCGAACAAGGAAAAGGAACAAAGGGCAATATTTCTACAAATACTGAAGATGGAGTTATGGTTATTGTACACTGCACCTACTCTCAATGTGCATGGCCTTTGCATGCAGTAGTATTGATATTCAACCACTAGTTTTCAAGTTAGGCACTGGACAAAAAAAGTAACAAATGGCATTTAATATAATTAGTCCAAATAGAGTAATGGTTCTTGTGCTCACTGCCCTGGACCATTGTATGAAATTTCACTGAATTCCAACCATTAATTTTCAAGTTATGCACCAGACAATAAAAGCAACAAAGGGCAAACACTCTTAAATGAGTCAAAAAAGAGTTTTTCTTTCTGTGCACTGCGCTTTTTCGCAATTTACTTGACCATTGTATGAAATTGTATTGAATTCCAACTAGTAGTTTTCAAGTTATGCTCTGGACAAGAAAAAAAAACAATGCAAAAGTAACAAAAGGCAGTTACTCTGTAATTACTTTAGATAGAGTTATGGTGCTTGTGCACTGCACTTCCTCTTTTTGTGCTTGAAAACTGTATGAAATTAATTTGAATTCCAACCAGTAGTTTTCAAATTATGCTCCTGACAAGGAAAAGTAACAAAGGGCAATAACTCTGTAATAAATGAAGATATAATTATAGTTCTTGTGCGCTGCACTTCCTCTCAATGTGCTTGACCATTGTGTGAAGTTGTATCAAATTCCAACTATAAGTCTTCAAGTTATGCCCCTGACAAGGAAAATGCAACGGACAGCTGGACCGAACGACAAACCAACCGACCGACCACCGAGTGACTCCTATATTACCCTCCCAAAACTTCGTTTCGGGGGTATTAACATGTTGAAAAGACAACTTTTTTAAGTCCCCCACAATTTCTCTGAAAGTGAAAAAAGCACTGAATAAAATAACCGGACCGAAGTGTTTAACAATTCTACGTACCTACACATATTGATCCGGCATAAAAGAGGAAATATGAAAGGGAAAATTATTTCCCAACTCCCAGATGATTTAGACCACTGATTTTTGCGCCGAGCGCATTTGCCCACGTATAACCCGTTACCGATATAAATTACAAATGCGTCTACAGTTTTTTGTTGAATAAAAAAGAAATATGTAAATTCACTCAATGGTTAAGTTCTAAATAATAAAGACATGAAAACACAACAAATTCTTACCAAAATATTTATAAAAATGAAAGAAGCGTCAAGTTCCTGTCGTCTGTTTTTTCGTTATGCACTCACTGAACTGCAATCATCACATTTTAATATCTATTCGATATAAAGAGGCGACAAATGTCATTAGTTCTGTTTAAAGATTGTAACTCACGAATTGCGCGACAATACCTTTAAATGAAGGGAAAAAACGCTTAAAGACAACGCAACAGTGTAAAAACTAACCGACAGTAAATAAAACCATGTCGAATTCCACACTTTCCGCTGATTGCGGCATTTGGGTCATTATGCAATTGTTTTTCTCGTAAGCGACGTTGGGCTTTCTCCTTGAAATATGCGTGCGATTAAACTACACAATGACAAGTTGATATACAGTGCTTTATATATATTTTACACTTGAAACCTGTTAAACAAATAAATCTCTGGGGAAAACACGAAGCAGGGAATTTCAAAGACACAATATGTAAAGATATTTTTTCGTATTCAAAATCTATCTGTTTAATACAAAAGATGTATTTAAAGTGTTAAGTTATTTATTGTTTGGAAATATTGAACTATTTGTGTAAGAATCATCTTACTAGTGTCAGTTTCAACATGAAGGTTGTAGATTCTTAGCGTGATATCTTTAATGCTGTTCTGTATATTTAAAGATATGATTATTTTTATTCATTTATTATTCGTTTTTATTATTTTTTACGAAACTATGTGGTTGTGAATGCGAATCGTTTATAGTACGCCTTTAAATAATCATATATATATATATATATATATATATATATATATATATATATATATATATATATATATATATATATATATATATATATATATATATATATATATATATATATATACATATTTAAACATTTATCAAGGCTATGACCTCTCAATAATTACACGCCGATATTGTCATAGTTTGTTCCATATATCATCTAAAAATGAGTTTTGCTTCATTGATTTATTCAGCGTTGACGTTATTTCAAGGGATCTTGCCCCTGACTTCCCTCTTCAACCCCACCCCCCCAAAAAAAAAAATGTCACAAATTCTCGATTCCTCGGATAGAGAGGTTGATACCTTAGCAACATGGCTGCCGCTTCATTTAATATCTAATTCGACGTAAAAGAAAACAGAAAAGAATGCGTTTTATGAAAATGAAGACGCATACAAGGGTATGTCAATTGTGAAATTTCCAAAAGCGTTAATTATGACATTTATGAATTGGCCGTGTTGAAAGAGTATTTAGACAATTTGTATTTCGTTTAAGAACACTTTGTCTGAATTAAATTTATCTAAACTCACTCGCAAGAAGATAACTGGATATAATACAATCGCACTATTTTTCAAATTAGATCTCTCTTCAAAAACATTGAGTGAAGCTTAAAAGCGTTCACAATTTGACAACAGACATTCTAGGCATTTATGTTCGTAACTGAAAGATGGAAATGCTTCAGAAAAGATCCCGTCGTGGCAGAGATCTAAACTCGCAACCTCCCGGTTAACCAGCGACAGGACAACCGAGTGAAAATTCGCAGTTGTCAGGGCTTGTTGTAAAAAAAGGTAGGTATGCATTCAATCGCAACACACATTCTCTCTACAAAGAGATTATCATTAATGATGACGGCTTATTTATTTTTAAGTCTGCGACCATTTCGTTATATATATCTGAAACCATTAAGTGTTATTAATACCACGAGACAGGCATCCGAAATAAGCCCAAATAACCCATTATCTTGTATTTTTATAACTTTGTAAATGAATTAAACTTCGTAACTGAAGGATACTGGTTGCTTGGATCAACTCGATACCAGCCGTGTTTAAGCAAAAATGAATACGACAACAACAACAACAACAACAGCAACAAAATTAATCAATCAAACATATATAAATATATATTGAAATTCTTAATTTTTAAAGAAATAACTTTTGGACAACTATTTTTAAAAATTCTTATTAATTGTATATAGCTGAAAAAAAATCATTTCAATTAAACTCGCAATATCAATTTAACGCATGTTATTCATACACAACTACCGCCATTTAAGATTTGACAAATTACGGATACA